CAAGTCTTAGGAGAAAAGATTAGTAGAGATAAAATATCTGTTAACCCTAATAAACATAAAGAGGAGGAAGCATTTCCTCCCATACCTAATTAGAAAAAATAATTTTCAAACCTTTTAAGATTAGCACTAAAGTAAAATAAAAAATCTTAGAGCTCAGGCAATAGTCAAAACCAAAACTTTCAAAAGATTTAGGAGAAACTAGAGAGCTATTAATCAAGATTAATATTTTACTTAAGATTATCCCTGACACTCCTCAAACCTCAAAAGAGTCTAGTAACTCAGAACTAGGTCTTCCAAAGCAGTTAATGTTATCAATAACCAAGATTCAGATCAAGCATCTGACGAAGGTTTTGTATCCAATCTAGAAGTAAATTCCATTATTACAATGGATAAAAACTGAAGATCTCCTTCAAAGTTTTATTATAATAAAGCTACTACTCTAGATCATTTTGTTTAAGAACATAATGAGCATAGTTTCAAAAGTCTTAGTGACAATAATATCTATAAATGAAACATAGATGGTCAGACAGAGTATAATATATTGAATACTCTGCAACACATGTCTATGGTAGCCACTGCTTACCAGACATCCCATGACTGTCCGAAAGAAACCATGGTTAATATTCTGGTTGTAGGTTTTTCTAGTCAACTTAAAGGTTGGTGGAATAATTATCTCATTGAAAAGTAGAAAACTAGAATCTTCTCTGCTATCAAAACAAATATCAATGGGAAAGTCATTACTGAAGATGACGATCAGATCCTTGATGTTGTCAATACTCTTATTTTCATAATCACCCAACATTTCATAGGAGATCCATCTTTATGAAAAGATAGATATGCAGAATTATTGTCAAACCTTAAGTGCAAAATTTACCCGATTTTAGGTGGTATAGAGATACCTTCTTATTTAGAGTTTACACTAGGAAAGATAGTAAAAAATCTTTTTGAAAAGAAAAATTTTTAGCTGGTCTTCCTAAATCTTTAGGAGATAAGATTAGAGATAAAATTTGTAGCCAATATGTTAATAGAGAAATTCCTTATGATAATCTTAGTTATGGTCAGTTAATTTCTTTTATCCAAAAAGTTGCCCTAAAAACTTGTCAAGATGACAAAATTTAAAGACAATTAGCCAAGGAAAAAGGCTAGAATAATAAAGATTTAGGGGTCTTTTGTGAGCAATTTGGATTACATGTCTGTCCAACCAAGAAAAAGAAACATTATCTCACGAAAGAAGCAGAACAAGTGGATGGATCACGTGCGATATAAATCATCCTTTTTAATAATAATAATAATAATAAACAAAAGGATTTGAGTTTAGGCATTTCAGTTAAAAAGCTAATATAGAAATAGGAATATCTTGATGTGATTTTCGGATGTCAAACCTAGGCTTAATGACAACACTAGATGGTGGAATTAAGTGGTGCAGTTTTGTACAAGTGTTGTTATGCTTCTGCTTCTTTTGATTTTGTTCTTCTTTCTTTTGTTTCAAAATTTTTTTTCTTTCAAATCCCTTTCAATTTTGGTTGTCTCAAATGTTTTAATGTTCTCTCCCGTTCCTCTATTTTTCCTTGTTCCTTACTTTGTTTTCTAATCTCAATTTTTGCTCTCTAAACTTTTTTTTTCTCTTCTTTCTCCTTTCATACTCTAGGTTCCTTCTTCTTTTCATACTAAAAATTGGTACTTGTTGTTTTTTACATTATTTTTGTAATATTTATTTCTTAGTTTTGAAAGTCAAATTTGTTTTGTCCCTTTTGCTAAAATCAACTTAAAAAATGTTTATTTTCATTTTTTAAATTTTTTTATAAAATAAATACATGATAACATAATATGTTTAAGTAAATAATATAGCATACATCATAAACCTAATAGTTGGTATGTATGGAAACTTATGTGATATCTCTCTTCCTTATTGAATGAAAATTAATCCATTGAATAGACTTATAATATGTGAAATAAGTAGAAAACCTTGGAATCTTAAATTGTTTTAACACTTTATCTATATACCTACTCTGAGTTAAGTCAATAAATCTCTATAATATATTTGCCAAATACATAAGTCACTTCATCCAAGTTTATCATGGGAAAACAACTACCAATTATGTCTTTATATATTCAAGAGTAAAGACATTTCTCATGATAAGTATGGTGCTCACACTATACTAGGAAAAATAACTATGTTTTCATTTATAAATAGAGTATTACAACTTATATATTTTATAAAATCTTCAAGAAGATTTTCATCTAATTATTGATATTCATTTGTCAAATTTCATAATCATGCTATGTTGCAACAACAAGCAGGATTTGAACAAATTTAAGCATAATAGTTGAGAAAAAAAGTCTCTGTCATAATTGACACCATGAATTTGTTTAAGACATTTAACCATTAATCATGCCTTAAAGTTACTCACGTTATCATTTAAGTCCATTTTATTTTTGAAAACTCAATTTCACCTAATGAATTTTTTTCTTTAGGTACATTAACCAAGGTTGATATCTAATTAATGTACTTGGATTCGATTTCAAATATCATGATTTCAAGTCATTTCTCATATTTTGGATTCAAAATAGCTTCTTTGTAGGTCATTAGTTCATCTTAATCTATTAGTATATATTATTGCTAAGTTACAAGAAACTCGTTTCTTTTATGCTAGTTATGTATCTTATTTAACATAAGCAAGTCTTGTGCTATTTAAGCTTACTGACTCCAGAACATTTTATGGAAGATCCACTCTACTTATTGGGATCTAGTCTAGTTCCACCGAAGGCTCTTTATTATTATGCAATTCTTGAATTTCATTCAAAGTTCTATTTTGTTTCCATTAATTTTTCTATAAATGATAGTTATAGCAATAAACATGTTTTTTTCAATTGGATTATAAAAATAATAACCCTTATTTTCCTTCAGGTGTCCCATAAAATGACACTTTAGAGATTTGGGTTCTAACTTGTTAGAAACCTAACGATTAACCTAAGTTTCATAAGTACAAATCTTCATAAAAAAAAATATTAGGTTATTTCTCAATTCACATTTCATATAATATCTTTATAACAACTTTAGATAGAGCATGGTTTAGTATAAATATTTTTAAATGAGTTATGGTGAATTTAACCATGACTAACAAGGTCTAAATTCTTTATTTAGGAACATCGTTCAATTATAGTATTCCAAAAAAAGTGAGTTATGAGAATAGTCCATTCTTTTTCAAATATTCATCAAACTCTTGGCTCAAATATACATCATCCTTAACTTCTTTGAACATTTTAAAAAATTATTACTATTGTTTCATTTGATACATAAATTCATATTTACTAAAGTGACCAGTGAATGTGATTTAAGTAATAAAAATTATGTCTAGCCATTGTCCCCAAGGGCTCACAAAATTTATTGGGCTTTCACTTGCCCCATCCTGGCGTGCAAATTGCACAAACAGTGATAGAGTGATTGCAAGAAGGTAAATTTAGCGGCAAATTGAACAAATTCATCTGTGGCCTAATCAAGACAGACACTAATGGTTTGCAAAATTATCTTTTCTTTTGAACCCAAAACTACAAACAGTGACAGAGTAATTACTTCTTATTTACTAAATGTGCTTATGGTCATTGTACTATTATTTAATATATGGAGACGATCTAATTTTTAGGGGATTAATCAAATTGAAATTAATCATGTTAAACATCTCTTTTAATATCGATTCAAAATTAAAAATACTAATATCTGAAATATATTTTAGGTTTAGAGATCAATTAGATATTATCTTGGCAAAAGGAGTTATACCATTGATTTTCTCTTTCAAGTCGGTCTTCTTGTAATCATACCTATTTCTAACAACATGACAAAAACGGGGGAGTATATAGTTAAATAACCAATTAATTATAACAGTATTATTTCGTCAATTTCTTTTTTTTTCTTTTTTCGTTAGTTGGCGTAGTTTCCCTTCTATGTATGTAAACTAATAGGTGATGCTTCTTGTGAGTGAAGTGTAATGCACAATAATAATAATATAGAACTATTAAGTAATTTTTGGTAATAAGAAAGTAGAAGAAAATGAAGTTTAATCAGAATATTGAAAAGAGAAAAGGACCAATGAGAATGAGAAAGACAGAATAGAAAGCAAATTTGAATGCTACTCTCTCTCTCTCTCTCTATCTTTATCTCTAAATTTTAAATATTGGGTTTTAAGTTAGTGCACAGAATTGTCCCTTATAATTTCCACTAGATGTTTCGACCGTGTATTAGCATTCTTAGTCGAGCATAAGTCCACTTAATTTCAACATAAAAGATGTTAGCCATGATTTAATTGTAACCGTGCCTATATATACAAGCAAGAGCTCATTTGCTTCTCACCTTTTCTCTTCTTTCCCTGCGTGCTTTCTCTGTTTCTTCGTACATGCATTTTGCATATGAATCTTCCAGTGATCATTGTTCTGATTTGTTGCATGAAACCTGGAAATAGGAAAAGTAGAGGGAAATGGAGACCGGGCATCGCTTAAAGCGACCCTTAAAATAATATTGGTTATCATTCACATCGCCTTCCTCTATATTTCAAATCCAAAATTTTTAGCAACCCATTATACGCAGACCCATGTTTCATAGAAAATAAAAATTAAACATATAAATAATGAACACTGATCGAAACATTCCTTTCATTTAACCTTTTCATAGGCCATGCATTCCATTCTTTTCCAAATCCATATATGCCTTGAACATATAAATTAAGGAACCTACCAGAGTGTCTCATGCCTCAACTCAATCTTTTCACACGCATTTCTTTCCACTTTTAAAATTAGTAGTTTAATAAATAAATCAGACCCACTTTGATCAAACAGTAAAGCAATCTAAAAAAAAGAGACATCAAGGTGAACAATTATTAGAAGCTTATGAGGAAAAAAAAAAAAGGTAGTTCCTTTCGCTGGCACATAAAGCAAACCCACTAGCCACTACAATTAACATACCTTTCTTCATCTCTTGTTAAACCTTTGTCTTTTTTTCTCACGAAGTTTGGCATCCCTCTTCTCCTTAACGACCAAGGAATTCTCCTACTTATTGATTAAGTCCCACATGGTCCATACTTGGGTTATTTTCACATTCAAGCAAGACAGAGCCAGAAGCAGAGACTAGAGTGTGACGTGAAGATAGAGAAAGAGAGAAAGAACAGAAATGGGTGCTGATTGGGGACCAGTAATTGTTGCAGTGGCCTTGTTCATCCTCTTATCTCCTGGGTTGCTGTTCCAATTTCCAGCAAGGTTTAGGGTCGTTGAGTTTGGCAACATGAGTACTAGTGGGATTTCAATTTTGGTTCATGCCATCATATTCTTCTGCATACTTACCATCTTGATTGTAGCAATAGGCATTCACGTACACATAAACTGAATCCAAGTTCCCATTTAGACATGACAAATTTACCACAAGTATGTTTTCAATTACTATTTTTTGCTCCTTTGCTGTATTAATTTTCCCTTAAAGATTTTCATCTTGGTTTCTTCTGCGGTACTGTGTACCATTGCTTATAAATTGTTCAAAATGGAAAAGGAGATATAAATATAGGAATCATATCTTTTGTTCCTGAATTTTTCACTCGTCTTAATTTTGGTCCCATTAACTTATAAATAATGCATCTTACGCTCTTATATCTAATGGCTTGTTTGTATAAGAATATTCTGGTCGTTATTTTATAGAATCTCACAATCCAATATGTTCAGCACAAGGTTAAGAAAAACATAATTGAAGGTGCATCAGATATTACTCTTGTTTGCTGTGAATGAAAGACAAACGGGCTTTGAGTTTAACGAGGTTAATGCTTCAATTATGTTTTCCTTGTTCTCTTAACGAAAAATATGAAACAGCTTGGTCCAACATTTGACCAGATTTTAATTTCATAATTAATATTTTGAATATATTTCAGAGTTAGATTTAAGAAAACATAAAATAAATTTTTCAACAAAAATATATAATTTAAAAACTTTTTAAATAAAAATAAAATCGAAATTAATAGAAGTTTAATTACTTAATACTTTTTCAACTTTAAAATATATATAATTTTCTTAATTTAAAAATAAAATTATCCTCCCTCTTTTTCTTTCTACGCGACATGGCTTCTTTTTATTGTCATCGTGGACCTAATAATCTGGCTTTCAATCTTTTGGAAAATCTTCGAGCTCACGGAAGCAATATTTTAATTCCAAACAAAGGATGACAATAGTTACATTTGTGTAAATTTTAACCATAAATTCTTGTAACATGTCGGTCGAACCCTCGAGACTTCTGTGCCCACAAAAGATTTGTACCGTAAATCGAAATCAAATGATCTTAGTGATCATATTAGGGAGAAACAAAAATACAAACATTGAATTTTACAATTGAATATTATGATATTTTCCTCACGTGTTTATCTCTCCCACAAAATCATATTTTATATGGGAAAGGATTTAAATGCAATTTGAATTTAATCAAATTAAATTTGGGACTGAAAAATAAATGTGAAATATTTTTTAAAAAAATTCAAGTCACTTTTTGATGTCTAGATTATCTCCCGTCTACACAAGATGGAAACAATTTTCATTTTTGTTTAAATAAAGTGAATCTTTCTTGCGTAACTTTTAATTGTTTAATTTTATTTTTACTTAACCGAAATGAGAAATATATTAATGCATAACTGTAACTCGTATATACGATAATCTTGGTGAGGGTAAACTTTTCATCGAATCTGATTATATGGAGATGAAGAGCTGTCATTGGGAGACAGTGCATCAGAATGACAAACATTAGGAAAAGCTTCATTACCTTGTGTTCCAATCTACACAGCAACCAATAACTCCCTTCTTCTTTTTTTTTCTTTTCCTTTACCCTTGTCAATACGATACCATTCAGGAGCTAAGGGACTATTCGATGAAATTCTGTGTAGTAACATCATGAGATCAAAGCTCGGAGTGACAAGACTACTTCTTCTGATAACATATTCTTGTCTTTTACCATAAAATCTAGCATAGTTGCCCGCAGATTGTCATTACAATAATTAAAAATTAACTTCGCTTATGACACGATGATACGATCCATGAGAAGGAAGAAGGCTTGCAACAAGAGTTGGACCCAGCTGTTGTGATAGAAATAGATTATCATCAGGCTCAAGGAATTGAGAAGCTCGAAAAGAAGACGACTAAGTACAAATGACTATGACTTTGAGGTTCCTCATAATATGCGTAAAATAGCGTCAAGAGTAAAAGTGAAGGTTGTATTGTTTTTTTATTTTATACAATTAGTTAGTTATGCCCTAACATAGTATAAGTATAATGGTTTTGTTATGTTTTGAAGGGCAGAAAAATAGATTATTCTCTTCTCATTTTCTGATTCTTCTTTTCCTTTCTCTTTTTCTAATTCTTTGATAAGTTTGTAATTAAGCCCTATTTTACAGCTCATATATTCATATTTGACTTTTATTTTATTTGGTGTTCACACTAATTTATATATTAATTATGCAGTTTAGTATAAATATGCTGCAAGTATACTTTTGGTGTGTTTTGAGTCCAAATTGATAGAAGATTAGAGCTTTATAGCAATCAGCACGCCCAAACCCTTTTAACAAGCATGAGGGTGCTTCAAGCCCATGCACGGTCATGCTTAAGGCCTTGCACGACTGTGTTCATCTGCAAGAAGCCCAATTATCAAGAGTCTTTAGAGTTTTCAAACCCTATTAAAAGGAGATCTCAGGCATCGTAAAGGGGACCTTTTTGACACCTAGTCTTTGACACTTCTCATCTCCTTTCTCATGCATGAGATCCTTGGCATATGTTTAGCGGAACTTAGAGCTTCGAGCGATCATACTTGAAGACCGAGAACTCATCTAATTCTAGTTTGCTTTTCTTTATGGCTTTGTTTATAATTGTTTTAGTTCTTTTCTTTAGCATAAGTAACTAAGTCCATAGCTAGGGCTATGAGAACTATTGTCCATAAATTTATGGGATTTTGACGTTTGAATCTAAATTTGATTTATGTTTTGTGATTAGATTTTATCCTATTGTGCTTCTCTCTGAATCCTAATTAACTATATCGTCAGGCGAGTGTACCTCGGTTAATTAATAGATCTATAGGGTAAAACGAGACAAAGGATTAGGTGGACCAAACTAATCTTTCTCTTCTAATCGTTATTAAATTAACAAATTTATAAGTTCCTTAAGCTTTCTCAAATTGATGTCTTGCATAACTATTGGGGATGTTAATTTAGAGAAAAGAATATTAATATTACATGACCATTGAGTATTAGTAGTATTCGTATGAATGATTGGTAATCACAAGGAAATCAGATTTAGAGTTCAATAGAAAAATAACATAAAGGATTGAATGAGAAAACCCATATGCCCTAGGTTCCTCTCCGATAAGTTTAACCATTCCTTGCTCTTAGTTTTATAATTAATTTTATAAATTCTTATTTTTAATTAATCTCGTATCTTTGAAGCTTAAACAATTGAATTAAGAAATTCTTAATAATTGAAAATCAATTCTTGTAGGACGATATTTTTAGAACTTAATTCAAGAACTCTTTATTACTTCTCGATGGGTACACTTGCCCTCCGAACATTCTTCTTCTAATTCCTCCTTTCTTTCCCCTATTCTATTCTTGTCTCTCTCTATTTTTGAGCTGGGTCCATCAATTTGGTGCTTTCATTGAGAGAAGTGGTTATGGAAGGAACCTCAAAAACCATTGATTACGTCACATGAGACATTCCTTTCCACCATGTGAACCATGACCACCAAGATGGAGACCTTAGAATGCTAAATCACCAAAAACAAAAACACCATTACACTATTCATGGGTGATACTAGTCAACCCCTCAAACTACCTACCACCATCAAATTAGACGTTCCTCAATTCAATGAGATAGACCCATTGGGGTTGATTTTCAAGGTGAACCAATTCTTCGACTTCCACCGGACTGCTGATGACCAACAGTTGAGAATTGCCTCCTTCTACATGGAAGGAGAGGCGCTGGGTTGGTACTAGTGGATGCATACTAATGGGCAACTTTTATCATGGGTTGCCTTCCTACGAGCCTTGGAACTCTATTTTGAAATGGAGTTCGACAATCCCCAAGGTGCGTTGTTCAAACTAACTCCAATAGGAACAATGAGAGATTATTAGACTCACTTCGAGACCCTTGCTAATAGGGTGGCCTTTCGACTACCTTCTACTTAAGTTTTCTCATATACGGGCTCAAACCAGAAATCTAGCAAGAGGTGATTTCATTTCGCTCTAACTCACTTCCCGAGGCTATCAGTCTTGCAAGGCTTTAGGAAGAGAAGCTTGCTACTGCTAAACTCACATTGAGATATTCCTTGAGTTTTATCCCTACAACCTTAAAAGCCACTATCACTGGCCTTTTACCCACTCCCACAAACACCCAACCCTTACTTCTGACATCAATTAGCCAAAACAATAATAAAAATTCTTTCTCAGCTCAAAAATTTATGTTTGATGATCTTAAGGCGAGGTGCAAAAAGGGCCTTTGTTACTGGTGCGACGAGAAGTATGTCCATAGCACCACTGTAAAAAGCAATTCCATCTTTTCCTCACAGCTCCTGAATTTCTGTCAATGGAGGAGCTAGATCGGTTATTCGAGGTGATGGGTCATAGTCTAGACCCACAACCCTATCCACCATATGACACAAATCCAGGAGAAGCTCATATTAGTATTCACTTGTTAACGGGCCAATCCACACCGCAAACATTACGGGTCCAAGGGGTTATTAGAAAGTCAACAGTTGCAATTTTAGTGGATAGTGATAATACTCACAATTTTGTCCAGAAAAGAGTGGCTAAGTTTTTGGGCCTAAATGTGCAAGAGGGTCAACCCTTCTCAATCTTTGTGGGCAACGAAGATGAGTTGAAATGTAATACTTATTGCCCAAATGTGGGTCTTAAAATTAGGCCACATTAATTTCATGTGGACTTGTTCGCTTTTCCGCTTTCAAGTGCAGACATTGTGTTAGGAATCCATTGGCTCAAGTCCTTGGGTCCAGTTTTAACAGACTATGACACCCTTACCATCATAAAAAATGGCTAGGTAGTGTAATTAAAGGGAGAAACCAAGCCCAAACCAGCCAAAGCTACAGTCACCCAGCTTAAACTCCTCTCATCCACAAACACCATAGCTGAGCTCTTCCATGTCCAGATCAAACCCACTTCTCCACCACACACTCCAACTGAACTGTTATCCACCCAAGTGAGTCACTTACTTGACCAATATGAGCAGCTATTTGACACACCTAATATCCTTCCACCCTCGTGACCAACTAACCACAAAATCTCAGTCCTACAGGATTCCAATCCCATGAATGTGAGGCCATACCGGTATCCCCATTTTCAGAAACAAGAAATGGAGAAGCTGATTCGAGAAATGTTGAATGCCGAAATTATCCAACACAATAGCAGTGTGTTCTC